AATCACATCCAAAATAAAAGTTTTTGTTCACATAATATATGTGTGTACTGTGTATATTTATTATGTATATATAAATACTAACACATGCATATATATATATTTAAGAAAAATTATATTATATTAATATAAATATATACATGTAAATACATGTAAGTATTTTCAAAATATATGCTGTATGTGTGCTTTTATATATACATAATAAATATACACAGTACACACAAATATATCATGTAAACAAAAACTTTTATTTTGGATGCGATTAATCGCGATTAATCGTTCGACATCACTATAAATATTAAACTTGTGGTGTATGAATAAAAGAAACAAGCAATCTATTATGAAATAAATATTCTTAATCTTCTATGATGTGTAGAAAGTGTTTCTGAACGTCCACAGGTCTAAAAGTGCCTACATAGAAGTACGGAGGCGGGTTTGATAATGGTACCGCCCACCATATTCAAACTCTGCCACCTGATTGGTCGATTTCGATTCGTGCGTATGTCCTCCGAGATCGATTCAGCGCACGGCCATATTAAATCTCTAGACGGAAGAGACAAAAGCCAGAGCAACAAAGAATTTCTCAAGAAACGTTCGATGAATTAATCAAATACTCGAGGAATCAAATCCTTCAAAATTCGGAGGTAACGAACTTGGACATAATTGTAATTGAATTAGGCAGTTATCTTTCCCAACGTGCATTAGCGGGTCTCTCTTGCGCTCTCGTTAGCATCTAGCTAAGCTAACCTGTCTTAACAATGTAACCGCTGGCAGGTTGAGCTAGCATGCTTTTTAATACTTTCAAATATAGTTCACCTGTATCCCACTCCTCAGGAAACACAGTTCACCATGTCCCCAGAAAAATGTGCTGCGTTGTGTTCTTATTTAATGTTGGGACTGCCTGCCTGAACTCGCGCGTTGAATCTGAAAGGAGAAAACTTTAGTCGGTAAACCACCTTTGTGGTGCTTGTCGTCTAGCTTAGTTAGCTCGGCAAACAACTCATGACGCTCACGCACACTTTTCGCTTCGGATCTAATCGTTAAACCTTTAGTGAATTGGTAAATGACCTTAAATCCTCTTCGACTTGAATCAGATGTGTTATTAATCCAATTTATCATATGAGTTCCAAGTGCTTCCACACTTTTAATAAGTGTTAGAAACTGTTGGCTAAACGTGGGTGCCTTGCTAGCAGAATGTATTGAAAGCATTCAATTATCATTATTGTCCTTATTTCTTCATTATAAGTCGCTTTGGATAATGGCGTCTCCTTAATGACTAAATGTAAAGCAAAGCAGCATTTCGGCATAATGGTTCTCTCTCTCTCTCTGAACTATTCTGTTCTATTTAATCTAATTCGAACCAGTGTTGCCAACTAATTTTCAGGGGAAGTTGCTAAAGGAAGGTTGATTTGTTGCTAAACGTTGCTAAATGATGTTGAGATGACATTGCGTGATGACGTCATTACGTAATCACAATGCAAAATTGTCAAATCTCAGCAAAAACATATATATATTATATGTTCATTTAGATTTGTTCATAGCAATATAAATGCATAATATAATATTAAAATATAAATTTTTTAATCCATTGAATTATCGAAAACGTACAAATTTTTGAACGATTACAATTTAAGTTTTATACTTTAAAGCAGTTTATTAGTAGTTAGTTAGTATG